GTCCAACTTTTCAGGCAATATAAACTAAGGACGTTAACTAATATGTATTTAAGTAAATGTGTAACTGCTGAATTTTCAGTGGTCACACATTCACAAATGGGGGGAGGAGCGCGGAGTGGTGGGAACTTGTGCTTGCAGGGAGCTGGCCCTTAAACCAGCTCCCTGCAAGCACCAGCTCCTGCTTGCCCTTCCTTACTAGGGACGTTAAATGCCGAGTAATTGACTATTTGATTAGTCGACAGAGTGCCTCTGCCTTTGAAGAATAACAGCCGCCCTAAGGATGTTGCTACACTTCAAAAGTGAAAGTGCTGTGGGGAGCCCAGGATCAGCTGGGGACTCCCCAGCACTGACCCCGGGCTCCATGGAGCACTGCCACTTTGAAATGCCACGGGGAGCCCAGCACCAGCCAACTGGCAGCATTTCAAAGCGGCAGCACCGCAGAGAGCCCAGGGTCATCGGGGGAGTCCCCAGCTGTGATCCCGGGCTCCACGTGGCGCTGCCACTTTGAAACGCTGCCGGTTGCCTGGTGCTGGGCTCCCCGTGGCATTTCAAAGTGGCAGAGCTGTGTGGGGGCCGGGGGGCTGGCCCCAGGCTCCCCGCGGCGCTGCTGCTTTGAAGTACTCTCTCCTCTCCCCCCCCCTTTACTGCCTTGCATTTGCTTATCTGACAGTTGACCAGTTGTTCATATCCCTACTCCTCACCCCTGCTACCTCTGATAAAGAGGCATTAACGCAGGGGGCAGGTGGTTCCACAGGAGCCAATAAGTACAGGGAGCCAGCTTGAAAGCCACTTCTCATGTGTACCATCCCCTGTCTGGCCTCTCCACCTCCTGTGATGCTGCCTCTGTGAGAGGCAGTGTGTGTGTGGGGAGGGGGGCGGTGAGGGGGAGAAGGAAGCGGCTCTACGGACCCAGAATACAAGGAGAGCCGGATTAAAAGATGGCTCCCCATGGGCACCGGTTCCTGCCCTCTGATACAAAGGTAGCAAGTATATGGGGTGCGTGCAGTTGTTAGGATTAACGGTTAATTGTGTTAACGACTGCATGCCAACATCCCTACTATATACAAGCCCTAAATCAACTAGGGATTACTTACACCCACTGAAGCCAAAAATAAATCACAATCACAAAACGTATGCCCAAACTATAAGGATATGTCTACATTAGCCCCCTAGTTCGAACTAGGGAGGCTAATGTAGGCATTCAAAGTTGCAAATCAAGCCCGGAATTTAAATATTCCCACTTATAAAATTACAAGTCCGGACTAACTGCCCGCGTGCGTCTATACGCGGCAGGGACCCAGTAGTTCAAATTAAAGCCCCTAGTTCGAACTACCCGTTAAACCTCATTCCAGGAGGAATAACAGGTAGTTCGAATTAGGGGCTTTAATTTGAACTACTGGGTCCCTGCCGCGTATAGACGCGCGCGGGCAGTTAGTCCGGACTTGTAATTTTATAATTCTATGAGTTTATGTCTACGACTCCTGGCTATAACCCATTATGCCTATTTTTCCTGAAATGTATATTTAGTCACAAAGTTTAGGTGAGAGAGATTTCACATGTGCATATGCAGGAGGAGATTTTGGCAGGCACAAAGAACAGACACACAACTCAACTTCCACAGAAAATAAATGCAAGTTGGGCACCTGAGACCCATTTGTATCTTTGTAAATCTTGCCCTTAGGTCTCTGGATGCCATGACTGACTGACTGACTGCAGAGATGCAGCTACTGTCATTGTGTAGCAGAGATGTTTTATACATTTGTTTGATAGAGATAATCATCTTACTCTTCTGTGTGTCTGTTTGTTTGGTGAGGGCAGGACCCTAGTCAATTTTCATTGTGCTCCAGAGCCTAAACTGTGTGCATGCATTTTAACTTATGAGACACGTATCCCTATCTGCACAGGTCCACAGTAGGGATTCAAAATATCGTTTTATCACTAGTATACATCACCATCAGTTAACTGGTTAAATGTTATTTTTAACTGGTTAACTGCTTAAACAGGGTGGGAAGTGGGTCACTCCAGCTTGACGGGGCTGGAGGGGCCCCCACCTGTGGCATGGTAGACCAGCTGGGATGAAGCAGCCTTCTGATGCGGGCAGGGGCTGCTCTGGGGCTGGGCTGGAGTGCCAGCGGTTAACTGTAACCAGTAAGCATCACCCAAGTAAAGGTGATGCTTACCGGTTAACCATTCACCTCCCTGGAATCTATCAACAGCAACCTTTTAAAGCAACTTAAGCTCACCAGTTAAATCAGGTGATGTTTTGTATCCTAAACACATTGGGAAGATTTAAAAAATAAGCACAGGAGGAGGAAAGGATGGATTTCAGCAGACATAATTGCTAACATTTTCCACTTCCCGGGTAGGTTAACAGGGACCAGGCTTCATACAATCCTGCTGCTGTCCCTTTTCCTCCAGGAAACTCCAAAGCTGCCTCTGACTAGAGATACAACTTGTTATTGTTCCCTTCCCTGCCCCCAAGATTTTGAGACACTGGTCATCTACTGCAGTCGAGTGTCCTTGTGCTGCCTGCCAAATGGATGAATGCTGCAGTCTGCATCCTCAAGGAGAACAGGCCATTCACAGCTTCCTATTTTGGGGCCACAACCTTTCTCCTACTGGAAAGGCAGCACACGCTGAACAGTTCTCAGATCAGCAGCCAAGCACTAGACTGAGAGCCAGTGGCCTTTGCTTCCAAGCTGGAGAGGTAAATACATGTAAATACTCTGTATTGTCTCTAAACATGAGGACAGAAATTTGCACTGATTAAATAGCAAGGGATCAACAGCATAGGGCAGCTCTCTAAATACCCTGTAGCTTTCAACTGTAAACTGAAGGAACAACTGTTCTGGTCTTGGTTAAACTAAGTCTGACCACCTTACTGAATTACACGTGGAGCTAGAACAAAACTATCAAGCCAATTTAAAACAGAAGCCCGTATCTCCCACGTGCTGCCTATGCTCCAGTTATGTTTGGCACAATTCAATTTTTTCCCCTAAATTTGATTATTTTTTAAATCAATTTTTAGTTTTAAGAGTCCCCGCCCCAATTGTTAATAGTTTTTCTATTTGTAACTACTTTTTTTTTTTAAAACAGATGTAGGGTTGGAGTTAGGAGAATGCTAACAGCCTGAAGCAATGTCCCTGTGAAACTGGAGGACTGAAACCATGTTACGGTAAGGTACAGGGAATGATTGGGTCCTGGTGCAGAGGAAAGAGATCCCAGCTGGGACTGGAGGACAAGATGTCAGCTGCAGGGGAAGCCACCTTAGTCTATAAAGTGCTACCAAACCATTTGTTGTTTTTTTCTGTAACAGACTAACTCAGCTACCCCCTGAAGCTGTTGCTGAACAGTTACTGACCTGAGACAGCTTCCACAGTCATAGCTAGAGAGTGAGCAAGTGGGGACCATTACAGTGGAGCTGTAGTGGGCTCGCCTGGCCACTGAGAGTGGATCCCTGAGCAACATGGTGGAGGGTAGGCTGGGGTTTCAGTGGGGGAACAATGGACACCCCGCCACCCCATCAGGACCACAAGAAGGCTGCAGGGACAACAGGGCAGCTGCCTCTGCAACCAGCCTCCTCCTTGCAGTCCTGGCCAGGGGTATCTGCTTTGCCCTGTGAGGACTGTGGCTTCCCCACTACACCTGCAGGGATCATGTGCAGGACAGCTTTACTATCATGGATGCGCGCACACGTGCACCCACACACCCCTCCCCCGCCGCAGATTGTTTCCTATGTGGTAGCTTAACCCGATGTTTACCTACAGTTACCGATTAAACTCAGTGTGGTCAAGCCTCTGTACGTCACACCTACAGAGTGCTGATCACACATTCCACAACACAAATGCTTTTATACACATATGCCTCCCATCACTAATCCTCGCCATATGCAGGCATCAACTAATAGCTGTTCATACAGTGTTTCTAACATTATAGTACAATCCTGGGTGGAGACTAGATAAACCACCTGGTATTTAAAGACAGGTTTTGCAACTTGGTATTGGCCATCAATGTTTGTAACCTACTCATCAAAAAAGTAAGCACATCTCAGGGACCTGGAAATTCCCCTTACCAAAAGCACCTGAATGCGTGGTATGGCATAACAATGAGTAGAGCAACTTCCCTTGCCCTTTACAGCACAGGATTTACTCAGGTCTGAAAGCTGTTTAAACATAATTGCTACACCTGGCTAAGCCTGCAAAGAAAAGCAGAAGTCCTTTCATCTGAGACAAAACCTCATGCACACATGAGAGGGAGAAAGTGTCAGTGCATTCTAATTTCATAATGTGTTGCTGTCATCGAGAATTCACTGGAATACCGAATCAGTACTTTCTGCAGCTGAAGCAGAAGGTAGGCTAGAACAGTGTTTCTCAACCAGTGGTACGAGTACCCTTATGGGTACTCGAGAGAAGTCTGGGGGGTACATCGACATAACTGAAATTTGGAGAAAACTGATTTTTTAAGTTTTCCAGCACTTTATTATTTTTGTACGTTTACACCAAAAATTGTATTGCCTGCTCAGCTACTATTAAGTTGTTTAAACAAATGTGTCCAATGGTAAAAAAATGGTGTGTCTGAAAACTGTAGGTATTGGGGGTACTTTTTTTTAAGGGGGTACTTTATAAAAAAAAAAGGTTGAAAAACACTGGGCTAGAGAGATTTTCCCCTCCCCCGAAGTTAAAATTGAGGAAGAAACAAAAATGATCCGTCCCAAGCAGTTGCGTAAAGCACCACAGTTCTGATCTGCTACATCTAAACTGACCCAGGTGACAATGCTGAACAGCATCATACATCAGCTATGAACTAGATTGAAATGGAGCCTGATTTTCACTCTTGCTATAGGAGGTGAAAGGCTGATGCATTAATCATGCCCGGTTCCCCTTCCCCCTGATCAAAATTCTCAAACTTGTGACAATAAAACAAAACAGTCACAACCACCATCCTGATTCTGGTTGACAGGCTTTCCATCCACAATGGAACACACTGAAAAAACTACTTACTTGCACAGAGGTGTGAATCCTTGTTGAAAGGTTTCATACAATGGTAACAGCTGATTGGACCTACAGTAGGGGTTGGGCTGAAGAGATGTCCATTTAACATCTTCTTGTCTTTTTCCTTCTCCTTGGAATCTTTGTCTTTCTCTTTAGTCTTCTCCTTATCTTTCTCTTTTTCCTACAAAGGGAAATAGAACAAGTAGTCTTGTGACAAATCCCTTCATGACGGTTTGCCTTTGGAGCTACGACTACATTGAGCCATACGCATGTTACCAACAGCCCATGTATCTTCACAGATTTTAGTTAGGGTAGCAAACTTCTAGCCTTCGCAGAAAGGGATTAACACTATAGATTTCCTGTGTAGTCTCTCTCTACACAGGCATTTTACTAGTACAGTAGCTCAAAAATTAGATCAATTCTCATCAAAGCATCTGTGTCTCTTCTCGTCTTTCTCTTTAGACATATGCCTTGGTTCCACCCTAAATGGCACCATGAGAAATCGCAATGTTTTCAGCACTTAGAATGGATTGTAGCAGTACTAAAATAGCATGTTTTGAGTAGGCCAAACTTTCAATGTGAAGCTAATTTTTATGGCCAATGTAAAAGGGCATTTTTAAAGGAGAAAGATGGGGTGCGCTGATAGAATTCTGTTCCTAATTTTTCTCCACTAGTTTGGCCTGCCTTCTCCAATTTCATGCAATCGAACTGTAAATTATCTCCTTTTGGAAAAAATTTTTCACATACTTTATATTCATAGCACAACAGGTAGGTTGATTTACTGCACTATGGTTAAACAGGACTCCAGGTTAACCAGTACTGTCTTGTTCCCTGCATGCTGTCTTTCTTAACAGCAGAGACCAGTGAAGGCAGCTGATGGTTGCTTTGCTAACCCTAGGTGCTAAGTTCTCCATGTCTCAACAGCAGAGGAGATAAGATTGGTCAGATAGACAGATTAGCATTGAAGATTATATATAGTGTTAAAGAGGCCACTATGGTTATTCTCTGCATCAAAAATTCAGCACACACAGGCATTTGGCAAGCTGACTAGAGCAAAGCCCATCCATTCTTGTTTGTGGCCTGCGTCACTGCCACCTTCATGGGAACTGCATATGCAGAATATAAGTAAACTATATGTGCATATATACCGGGAAAAAAATTCAACTGCTCATTGTACAATGCAACCTCATCATCTTCTCAATGATAATAATTTCTACCTCAGTGGAATATCGAGACCATCTGTTGGATTCTGTAAAGTTTTTTTGTGGATTTATAAGTTGTTAAAAAATATGTAACATGCCTTGAGTTAAACATTTTTTCTAATAGAGGTCTAAATAATCAAATAAAAGAGTCCTCCACAGGACTGAGGAACAGCAACAAAGCAGTTAATACCAGAAGAGCAAATACAAGCTCTGCAGTCACCATGAGAAGAGTGTCGAGTCTCTGATGTCACTTGCAAATAATTAGTAACGAGTATAACATCTGTGTGTCTATGAATTCAAAACTGAGTTCCTCCCTACAGGGGCTTTAAACTAACGTTCTGACTAATCTCAGTTCTGGGCCAACTGTCCCTTTCAGTATTACATCCAGGCAAAGTAAAGGCAATCCTAACTGGGGAAAACAAACCCGAAACTACCAACAGTTCCCTAAACCATCTAATGCCTAGATCTAGATTTCATTCGAACCCTGTACCCACAGATGAAAGACTTAATGTCCCATTCATAATCTGCTGAATTGTGCAAATCCAGCAGAATTCACTTCAGAAGAGTCTCAGGATTTATACTCTGCAGGGCTGCTAGCATATCAAGACCAAAAGTTTTGCTTGAATGTCAGAAACAAAGAACTCAGTCCCCCAAGGGAAGTACCTTATTCTCAGCTAGACCCTATGCCCCTGTGAACACAAACACTCCTACTAATGCTGAAAAAAGGAGATTAACTTTAAAAACTGCGAACGGAGTGCAGCTGGTATTTAAAGACAGGTTTTGCAACTTGGTAATTTTGGGGTCTGGGACGTGAATCATATTTTATGATTTTATAAATAAAGAAAAACATTTCAAAAAGAGAAGATTTCAGTTAGCCACAAGAAATACTGCCCCACATATAGTGAACAAAAAGCCAACTTTCATATGCTGGGTGTCACTGTAGTGAACACCATATAACAAAACATTGCCTTAAAATCAAATGTTCTTTTTACACTACACATTACTGAAACATCTTCCAAATAATAGCATGAAAATAGAAACCCTTTTCTTCCATACCCAAAACACATCAGCATAGTTGAAGGGAACCAGTTCATTGGGCAACCTACATAAGCATCAGATTTCAGTGTGAAACAACAAGCTTAAGTTCTTACCTCCCAATGCTTAAGTCCTACAAGTCTCACTGTTATTTCAGGTAATTCACTAAATCTATACCGTTTTATCGACATGCTTTCCCAGGGGCAGGAGGGCTGTTCTCCATGCGTATTACTCCATAGTGACAGCAAACTGATCTGTTCTGTCTGCCATGACAGACTACTGGGAGAGGAAGTCAGAATGCTTGGGCAAGGGAGAGAGGGAGGTCTCTTTGCTGCTGACTTCCTTGCAGATCACCTTAACTATTTTGCTGCTGTTTGTATCGTGTTTTCTCCTAGCTAGCTTACAAAAATCAGAGGGGCAGGGAAGACAGGAAATGAATTTTAAAAAGAAAGTGTTACTTAAATTTAACTCCAGAGCTTTAAAAGAGATTTAATTAAAAAACTCAAAACCCTATGTGATGTGTAGGGCAATTGTGAAAAGAAAATTGTATTTGGATAGAAATAGCTGCACATTAAGTATACTTCAACATTATTTAGTACTTTTGCAATACTCCGTTTATCAAAACACTTCTCATATAGATGGCTAGAGAGGCTGCTTTTGTGTTTCTATAGTTACTGATTCTTTTTTAATTCACAGATGTTTATAACCTCCCAGTTCTTTGAAATGCCATATTGAGAAGCTGGTGGTATTTAAAATTCTCTGGATGCAAACACCTACTCTAACAGCACAGGTGAATGACAGGAGAAATTACTCACCCTGCATCTCTTAAATTTGATTTAATATTTGCTGTCATTCCCCAGAAATTCATTTTGAAAATGGGAGAATCTCTGAATGTTTTTCTTGCTGCGAGCAATATCACCCGGTAGAGATTGTGTGTATATGAGCCATTATTTGTAATTTGACTTGAATGGAGTTACTTCTATATAAAACTGAAGTAATATGATGTTGTATATTAGAGACAGTGGTAAAATTACCCATTTATTTATTTCCCCTTCCATCTTTATTTTTTCTCGTGCCTGTATGTCTTCTTTGCATTGTTATTAAGATATATAGAGATCGTGGTCTTCTTCAGAAATTTTATATTTACAACTAATCTTAGAAAACTGTATTATCAAAAACCACATTCTGAGCAGAGCAAAATCTGTTAGGAACGTCTGCATATGTTTATGCCTCTTGCTCTACTAGAAACAGTTAGAAAAAAAAAACCCCACCAAATCTTCCTGTTCCACTTCCTCTTTCAAGAGTTGTTTTTTTCTTGCATGTTTTAATCTAAAACACTGTTCTTTTCTGCGACGATCCTGTGCTCCTAGGAACTTTCTCAGGCATACCATTTAAAAGTGCAATAACTAGCACAAAAATAACTAAGAAAGAAGAAACAAAGGAGGGAACTTGACTTGCATGTCACTCTGCATTGCCACTTAGTAAAAGTATCAAAACTGCTAGCTGTTGTTAATTTACAAAAAACAAACTAAGTTTACCTTCTTCTTGGAGGGCACTCTTGATTTATCAGAAATTTTTAAAATAATAAAAAGTCAGATGTGGCAGTCTCTATGACTTTTGTTTTAACAGACAAAGGTACAAGAAGTATTGCAGTGTGCATTCTCTACATACTGTCTTATCCCTCATCCTAACAAATTCTTAAAATCTTTCTCTCTATACACCTCTGATCTGCCATGAACTATCAGTTCTTGCCTTATGGCCAGGACTATTAGAAAATTCCCTAACTGCACATGTTATTTCACAAATTCTCACAAGTGGCTTGCAAGAAGAGTTCTACAGAAATGCATTCTCTCACATTGCACTCTGCACTGGGGGGCAGGGATTGTTGCCATATTATTTTGAACTTCCCATGATTAGATGTGGCTCTGAGGTTGTCAATGACCACAGCGGGTATCCTGTAGACAGAGATCAACAAAAGGGAACTGGTTTCCCTTGCGTAAGGCTTAAAAGGTGTCACAATCTCCAGATGATGCACCAGAGATGACTCCACTTTTGTACATTTATTGTATTACCACATAAAGACTTATGTTAAATTTGTAAAATCAAGCACTCAGAAACTAGGGAATGAGAGAATTAAAGCAGTCTATGCTGCTTTATTTGGGCTCCATTGTGCATATACATTATGATATAGTCTTCTTATATATCATATACTATACTGTTTCCCAGAGAACTCTTTGCTGCACAGGATGGATGATGCACATTGAACAAGCTGTTATTCAATATTTTGCTTTATCCCCCATTGGTCAGTGTGTGGTCCCACACCTCATTTACGGTACGCAATATTTTGCTTTATCCCCCATTGGTCAGTGTGCTTTATCCCCACACCTCATTTACGGTACTTTATTAAAAAGCTGCACTGAATGAAGAATTATGAATTTCCTTTTTAGTTTTTGAACGGCACTCATGACAGTACCTGAGTGCTTCACAAACATTAATCATTTTATTTTCACAGCACTTTACAAGGTGATGTGGTATTATGCTTCTTATTTTACACACAGGAACAGAAGCACAGACAGGTTGAAGTAGATTTCACTACTTTTGGGTGTCCACTCTGACATAGCTACAGCCTGATTTTTCAGAGTAGTTAGTATTCTATAGCAAGTGATATGTTTGATGCACAGTTCCCAGTCATTTCAGCTGCACTTGAAGAGCTCAGCACTTTTGCAAATTACAGCCTAGGCCCTAGGGTTTCAAGATAGGCATCCAGTTAATGAGGAACACATTGAGTAGCTGCCTGTGTAAAGTTTGGTTTAAGTGACAAGTCCAGCCTCCTGTAGGAACTCTGGTAGAGGCAAGGAGAGAGGCCAAATTCTCCAAGACAGCATTCAATTGCCTTAACCATGAGCCTCTTTTTTTCTCCTCCTGCGTCATTTTACCACACACT